CACAGGGAAACTACTGTGGGTGTCACACATTTCAGAGATCTCTGTGAGCACTTTGTGGAGAATGAACATGACTCGGAAGGAGTGAACACATGGAGGGAGTCCTGTTGGATGCTATAGCAAACGGTGTACTTTCTTTTTTCTTACAAAGAATCCCAATTTTGTACAGGAGTTGGGATATGACTGTGATTTCAAGGACAGTGCTGAGGGAGGGTGTGCAACCCAGTTCTGACCATATCATATAAAGGGAGTTGCTGAGAGGGCTATTGGGGAAAAATGTTCACTGAGGTGTCTATGGACCTGCTGAGCCTCCTGCTGCCTGGACTGTAGGACAAGATGCTGAAGATGCCATGGCCCCTGAACTCTGGCGGGAAGGCTGAGAGAATCACAGAGCTGCCAGCCTAGAGTCTTGATATTACACAGCCCCCCAGGTCATAGCAACCAACTGCCTACCTCCTGGACTTTTGGTTATGGGAGCAAAGAGTCCATCTGTTTGCTTACGCCACCAACACAAGGGGGCTCCTGTGTCTTACCGTCCAAAGCATTGCCTGGGAATCCTCATGGGCCACCTGTTATTTAAGCCAGGTTCCAAGATCTCATCCTTCCAGGAGTCCTATTCTGCAGTCATGGTGACAAGCTCATCTACCTGCCACATCCTTCTCTCAAATTCTGGTTTTGTCATTTGTGGCCAGGGGATAGCTACCCTAGTTTGGCCTGGTGACCAACATGGGTCACACAGTGATCACTGTACCTCCAGCTTTCCCTGGTCACTCACACCAAGTATTTCTTTATAATCTCCTTAATACTACAGAAGAGACATCTGAGTCTCTATAGAAAGAACTACATTCTAAGGCTATACCACCTATAAGCTTTCAGTCTTGGGGTCGGGGACAATCAGTATTTCTTCTAGGATTCAAGTCTTATAAAAATTCTGTAATTTGAAATCAAGATCCCAAATGACTAAAAATTGAAAGTCAAAAAATATAAACCTGAGCTGCATTATAGCCTGGAAAACAATAATCCCATGCAGCCACAGGCTGCTTGCTGGCTAGGGCGGGCACAGGTGTGGCTTATGGGAGGTTTTGACCTCAGGAGTCTGTAGAACTAGACCTTTTCTCAAAGTTGTACAAAGGTGTGTTCTATAGTCACACATTCGGCTGCCAGCAAAATGTACATGGAGGGTATGAGAGAGGCTGAAAAGCATGGAGATGTTAGCAAAAAGATGCAGACGAAGCAATGAGAGGAAGAAAAGGCTACAAAACATTCCCACAATTATTGTAAATGTCCTATAGATTTTACATGAGGATCAGATCCACCCATAGCCAAAAAATAAATAAAGTATATTTTAAAGCTTTTCAGAGGCTCTTCTAACAACATCTGAGTCATTAAAGTAATTTACTAAACTGAAATAGATGAACTAAATCTATTAGATTATGGGATAGTTTGTAATATTCACCTCCAGCCAAGAATTAGAGTGGGTAAGTGCAGAGCTGAAGGGTGAAAGTTGTTCATCACCACGTGGTTTGCTTTGGTGATTAGACAGTCACTGATATCTGCTTAAGGTGGTTATATCTGAAAGTTTTATGCAAACATGCCAAGTAGAGCAATTGAGAACTGAATCAGATGGACACCAGGAATGCAAAAATGACTTAACGGTATATTTCATTAGAAAATCTAGTATTGTAATTAACACCTCATTAACAAATTAAGGGAGAAAAAACATTTTGATTACATAAAAACTATTAACGTTATAGTATACGTCCAAAATCTACAGCAGGGGTGTCAAATTCATTTTCACCAGGGGCTTCGTGGTTGCCTTCAAAGGGCCAAATGTAATTTCAACTCCGTAACCATTAAGGAGTAGTTACATTTATACAGTTCTAAAATTATTTCAGCCCTTTGAAGGCAACCACAAGGCTGATGTGGCTTCTAGTAAAAATGAGTTTGACACCCCTGATCTATAGTATAGATCTTACAAGTATGTGAGATCTATAGTAGATGTAGAAAAATTCAATCTCCATCAATTTTTTTACAAAAACAAGCAAACGAAACCCTTCTTAGCTAACGCTTGCAATACCTCAATAAACAGTATACAGCAGATACCCACAACAGACATCCTTAATGGCAAAAAGATGAACACACTCTAAATAAGGATCCCTCCACCACTACACTTGTATTCAATATGGTACAATGGAAAGGGGCCTGCCTACTGCCACAGAATAAACCATAAGCCAAGTCAGGTGGAGCCAGTCTTTGTACCTTCTGGCCCAGCACTTCACACCCTTCATTATAGTTTTGTGCTACAAGTGCTCCTGTTTCCTTTGGACATGAGTCTTTTGTGCCTTATTATTTGAATTCATGGTTGCTGGTGGAGTAGTTGATATTCTGCAGTGGGGCTAAAATAAGCTGTTAGTCTGCCTAGGAGGTCTGGGTTTTACTTTTTCTATGGTAATAGAAAGGGACAGAAAGATTAGTACAAGTTATAACTTCATTGCAGTTACAGATCAATGTCCCCGTACTCACAAGACAGCACAGAGCACAAGACAGCAAAAAGCACAGGCCTAGGACCTTGATACATGCAAGAGAAACTCTGTGACACCACACCGCAAACCTTTGACCTCAGACTCTGAAAACAATGGCCAGAGACTTGTCTGCCCTACTGTCTCACATGTGATCATTCTAATCAGCAAGCAATACATGAAGATATGGAATGTATGCATACTATAATTAACAACTCGATTTAAAACGCATTGTACCTTGTACAGAGAATGCAAAGGCTTTTCCTTTTTCTCCAAATTTGACTTAGTTTATCCCCCCCAAATTCTAAATTTTATTGTCTTCCTTTAGCCAAAGCTGTGATAGAGAGCAAACTCATACATGCTTTTGTTATTAACTAAGAAAGGACAAACTTCAGTAAACAAAGAATTTTACTCAAGAAACTAGAAGAAACCAAGGAAATGTACAAAAAGCAGGATGAAAGAATTGATAAAGACAAATTAGAAACAAATTAATCAGAAATAGATGGACAATGGAATTAATAAGCTACTCCAACTGGGCTTTGTATTCATAAAACATGGAGTGACATATTCCACTTCTGAATAGGAAGATTAAATATTGTATGTTGATACCAGTGTGTACACATGCCCAAATGTGCATAAACTGGGCAAATGCCTGAAAAGACATACAACCAAATGTTAGCAGTATTTTTCTCTAAGCAGTTAAAGATAATATTTTCATCTTTATATTTTTCTGAAAATTTTAAACCTTCTGTAATTAATATGCAATTTCATGATCAAAAAGAATCAGCCATTGTTTTAAGATGCCAAGTTTTTTCTCATTGACACATATATTTTATGTAAAACCACTCTAAATACCAAAAAATAGATGAGGGACTGAAGGAGGACTTCAAAAAGGTCACCAGGGAGATTAAACATTTTGCAACAGAATAACGAAAGGGAGATTTATTCCACAGACGTTACAACTTAATGTAAAGACACAATTACCAACGGTAGTTCAAATGGGCATTTGGCTAGTACCTTTAATGGAACTGCTTCTGAACTTTCCATAAAATGATGTGAGTTGCAGACACTGACAATGATAAAACTCCCAACACCACCCACTACTCAGATCATTAGACAGCCCAATGTCAGAGTCAGGTTGCAACTAACTAATCTTAAGGCGAGGAAGCAGTAGAGAAAAATCCCCCTGGAAGTTCAAGACATAATTTATTCCTTGAAACAGTCTCAAACCCTGAAACAGGTGGGGAGATGTTTTCAATCTCACTCACCAAGGACCCCTAGATCACAAGGAACCCTAGATCAGGGCACATGCCTGGATTGTGGGCCAGGTCTCCAGTGGGATGCATGCAAGAGGCAACCACACACTGATGTTTCTCTCCCTCTATTTCTCCCTCCCTTCCCCTCTGTCTAAAAATAAATAAATAAAATATTTTTAAAAATAAAATAAAATGAAAGAAGTGATCATTTCATTTGATCTTGGGTTGGGGGAAGATCTTTCCAAGCAAAAAAGGTGAGGAAAAAAAGGGGATATGCAGACTGGGTTTGAATGATCCAACAACTTAATGTCAGCTGTTGGCAAGGGTTTGGGGAAACAGGCACTGTCATAATCTACTGGTGGGAACAAAATGAAGTAATATTTCTGTAGGGTGATGAGACTAAATGTATCCAAAGTCTTTAAAAGGGTCATACTCTCTTGCAACAAGTCAATGTCTAGAAATTTTCCTTAAGGAAATAATGAGTGATATAAAAATGTATTTACAATACCAAAAGACTAGAAAAGAACACAAACATTCAACAGGCACCTATCTGGTCTTTAAAATCATGTTTCAAAGAATAATAATGAGAATATTCTCAGAAATGAATATTCTTAGAATGAGTCTTAAATTTTTTTAACTTATGGGAAACACAAGTATATGTATGTTTATATATACATATATATACACACACGCATACATACACACACACATATATGGAAGAAAACACCAAAAACACCAAAACAGTGGTTATACTGTTCCTTAGTGGGGAACTTTGGGTGATTTTAATTTCCTGTTACTAGCAGCCAAAAGCATGCTAACCAATAAATAGATCTGAATTAACTCACACTCATTCCTCAAGACTCAGTTTACTGTCACTTTTTTCAAGAAGTCCCTACTTTGGAGGGTACACTATCCCATGTACTTGAGGTGTTCCTTCTAGGTGCGATATTCTCTCCTCTGTGACATCTGTTGTCCCTGCCTCACACTCACTGATTTGATTCACCAGATCCTCACTATAGTTTAAATTGCCTGTAGTCAGAAAATGGGGGTGTTTCATTTTTGTATCTCCAATCTGTCCGGAACCTAACAAATCTTCAAGCTAGAATGCTGGGTTCATGAGTAAAACTGACTAAGCGAAAGATTCTTTGTGCTCTGTGAATTTAAACATCAAAAAGGAGGGAAATGTTAACAGGGATGAGCAAATACTGATAAAGAGGTATCTCCTTACCTTGGCTAACAGGCTTGACACATGTTTAATTTCACCATGTGCCTTTAGTAATTCTTGTCTGAGTTCAGTACAAGACAGTTCCAGCTGATCCTTCTCAGCTCGAGCTACTTTCAACATTTCTTGAATTGCACAGCCCTCTGCTGTCTGCCCCACAGGACTGGTCTCTACACCTTTTTGCTTTTCATTCTCCAGATGAGACTTCAAAGATCCATTTTCCATCTTCAGTCCTTCCAAGGTAACTTGACACTCTTCTAGAGTTTTGGCCACCACACTGCTATTATGCCGTTCCAGTTCTAGAAACCCGTTCAGTTTCTCATTTTCTTCCTTCAGGTGTTGAATCATTTCTAAAGCTCCTTGGTTTTCCTCTTCAGCCTTCCGTAAGCTGCAGGTCAGCTGCTGCTGAATGTTGAGCAGCTTCTCTCTTTCGAAGCGGCCCTGTTCAAAAATCTCTGTATACTTCTGCTCCAGTTCCAGAAGTTTTTCTTCTTGAGCGCTGGGCTCTTCATTCTTGACTCGCTCTTGTAAGAGATTTATCAGCTTCTCATTCTCTTGACTTAGCTGTTCTGCCCTCTCTCGATGCTGATGAAAGGAAGTTTCCAAAATTGTTTTTTCATCCACCAGTTTCTCATTTTCTGCTGTCAATTCCTGCACCATTTGTTGCTGGTCTGATAATTCTTGTAAAGTAGCCTGTAGTTCTTCTGCTGTGCTATGGTGATTTTCTTCCATCTTCTGTATCTTCTCCGTGAGGGAAGCCAGGGACAGTTCACTCACGTTGTTAGGGGAACTCCCAATGGTAGAACACTTTGGACTTTTAAAGGGGTTGCTCGGGGAAAACAGGGGCCTCGAGGGGGTGTCTGCTGTGATGTGCTCAAAATCGGAGGCATCTGGTGACAAGGAAGCTTTGGTAACATCACTACTTGAAGAACCTGACGTCTGTAATACATTTGGGGGGATAGTTTTTTTATACTCATCGATTTCACCTGACAACTGATTTCCAGTTGGGTTTCCAAAGCCTGACTCCTGGGTTACGGAGGCTGGACAGCTGCTATCACCAGCATGACTTGCTTCTCCTTCTGAATTTGGAGACTGCTCAAGGTAACTCAGTTTCTGCTTCAGGGCCCAGTTTTCTTCCTCTAGATCAGCAAGCTCTTTCTGAAAAGTCTTGTTCTTCTCCGCAAGAGCTCTTATCAAAGGTTCTGAGTCACCTGGTAAGACTGATGTTCCATCTAACTTTGGGTCCAAAGTGTCAGTTCCTTCGGTGTTCAGAGTCCTTTTCTCCTTGTATTTCTTTAGTTCACTTCGAAGCTGGTTGATTTCACTGTCTTTTGCTTTGGCCTCTGCCAAGAGTTCCCGAACTTGGGACTCGAGCACGGCCCGTTCTCCACCTTCACTCTCTTGTCTGAGTCTTATAGAAGTGTTCCTCAGGGGCTTAGTGGGGGTGGGCGCACTAGAAGAAGATGGACTGGACGCCGATTTCTTTGGGTTGGAGGAAACACGTGGCACAGTTCTCTCTCTTGAGATAGTTCCCGAAAGTTCTCGAGGAGCTGGAATGCCTGTCCGTTTGGTTGTCACAGCCCCTAAAGACATAAGTAGAAACCAGTGAAACACAGCAAGCACTTTTATAAATGGAACCCGAAGGACTTCAACTAGCATCGCATGGCAACTAGCAAGGCTGTTGCCCTTCATTCATTTCTGCTGCTCTAGATAAGTACCTGGTTCTGACTGGGGTTTCTCTATCTCCTCCTGCAGCCCCATACTTAAGGGAAGCTGATTTCCATCCTGAGTTACTTAGCATAATCCCATTCAAGCCACACTTGGTGGTTCCAGGCATGGGCAGACCCCTCAACTAAGGCCAATGAAACACAAGGGAAGGTGTTCTGGGTGAGCTTCTAAAACATGATCAGACATAGGTGAGAAAACATTTATGTCTGAGAATGGCTGGCAACCATCTTGTCATCACAAGAAGGTGAGAAGCAAAAAGAAGAAAGAAGAAAACCTAATACTTACTAGCATTGTGGATTTGCTAAATCAATCCATCCTGTCTTCACCTATTGCTGGCCTTCCAATGATACAACCCAAAAGACCCTTCCTTTCCTAGAACTCACCTTGAATTGGGTTTTCTGTCCCCTACAACTTAAAGCATCTGAACTGATAATCTTGACAACTAAACAACAGGCTTTTGAGAAAATCAGATATACGAATTTCTAAAAAACACTTAAAAATTCATCATTAACATATTTTGACTAAGCACAAATCTAATTAAGGAATCAGAATAATCCTCTGGAGAGACTGATCTGATCCAATGACCTACTGCTTTTCACATATGTGGAAGCAGTGTCCTCATGGGTATCCACAGATAAATAAGAACAAATGAGATAACGGCATATTATATATTATCTATGGTACAGCTTTCAATGTTAAAGGGATTTATATAATATGGAAATGATATGGAATTCAGAATACTTATAATGGGAAATGTAAGGAATTATCTTTTTAAAAAAGATTTTATTGATTTATTTTTTTTGAGAGAGGGGTAGAAAAGGAAAAAGAGAGGAGAGAAACATCAGTGTGTGGTTGCCTCTTGTGTGCCCTTCACTGGGGGCCTGGCCCACAACCCACAGACATGCCCTGACTGGGAATGAACCGGAGACCCTTTAGTTTGCAGGCCAGATCTCAATCCACTGAGCATCAAAGAGGAATTATCTTTTATTTTCATCTATACCACTATACTATAACCATTTTAAAACTTTCATCTATACCATATCTTATACTTTCATCTATTATTACAGACAATGTTGAAAACAATTGTAAGGATGAAAACCCAGCCATCACACTTGTGTGAGCTAGAAATGAAGCCCACCTGAGGGTTTCCAATGTCAATGGAAACCAGAGCCTGTTTTACAAACTCAAAGACCATTTCATGAATCAAGGCCACTATAAATTACACAGGTATGCTCCCTGGGTGGGAGGTCACTGACACTAGGCCTCTGCAGTGCAGGAAAAGGTGGAGCAGGGGCTGCAGCCACAGACTGGCAGCAGCCACAGACTGGCAGCAGCCACAGACAGGCAGCAGCCACAGACAGGCAGCAGCTCTGGACTACCAAGGCAGAAGCAGAGCCCAGCACTGCACAGTAGCTCTAAGCCCCCCACCCACACAGCTGTGAAGACAGGAGCAACTGCTTACCCAAGCATCTTGGAATCTGATGTGACATCACCATCTGTTGTTCAGTCTCTGACAGTTGAGTGCTTTTAAAATGTTGACATAATAAAGGCTAAACTGTCATATTAATATACAGAAAAACCATGGCTTTATATTAACCTGTCAAATTAAATTACTGAGAAAGTAAGAGTACTATAACACACACTGAATACTTTCAGGTGTCCAGATGCTTTATGTGTATCATACTAGATATGCAGTGAAAGAGGGTTTATTTAATTATTCTTTTTTAAAGTATATTTTATTGATTATGCCACTACAGTTGTTTTATTTCCCCCCCTTCATTCCCCTCCACCTGGACACCTCCTCCCCCACAATTCCCCCCTTTAGTTTATGTCTGTGTCACAAGTTCTTTAGATTCTGTATTTCCCATACTATTCTTGCCCTCCCCCTATCTATTTTCTGCCTACCATCTATCCTACTTATTTTCTGTACCTTCTCCCCCCTTCTCCTTCTCCCACTCCCCTGTTGCTAACCCTCCATGTGATTTCCATTTCTGTGGTTCTGCTCCTGATTTAGCTTAGTTTGCTTTTGTTTTAGGTGTGGTTCTTAGTAACTGTGAGTTTGCTGTCCTTTCAATGTTCATCTTTTTTATCTTCTTCTTCTTAGGTAAGTCCCTTTAACATTTCATATAATAAGGGCTTGGTGATGATGAACTTGAACTTGACCTTATCTGAGAAGCACTTTATCTGTACTTCCATTCTAAATGAAAGCTTTGCTGGATAGAGCAATCTTGGATGTAGATCTTTGGATTTCATGACTTCGAATACCTCTTTCCAGCCCCTTCTTGCCTGTAAGGTCTCTTTTGAGAAGTCTGCTGACAGTCTGATGGGAACTCCTTTGTAGGTGACTGTCCCCTTATCTCTTGCTGCTTCTAGGATTCTCTCCTTCATTTTAATCTTGGCTAATGTAATGATGATGTGCCTTGGTGTGTTCCTTCTTGGGTCCAACTTCTTTGGAACTCTCTGAGCTTCCTGGATTTCCTGGAAGTCTATTACCTTTGCCAGATTGAGGAAGTTCTCCTTTATTATTTGTTCAAATAAGTTTTCCACTGGTGATTGTTCCTCTTCCCCTTCTGGTACTCCTATAATTTGGATGTTGGAATGTTGAAAGATGTCCTGAAGGTTCCTAAGCCTCTCCTCATTTTTTTGAATTCTTGTTTCTTCATCCTTTTCTGTTTGGTCATTTTTTTCCTCCTTCTGGTCCACTCCTTTGATTTGAGTCCCAGTTTCCTTTTCATTACTATTGGTTTCCTGTGCATTTCCCTTCATTTCAATTAGTTTAGCTTCCATATGTTCCTCTAATTTGTGACTAAAATTAACCAGTTCTGTGAGGATCCTGATCCCCAGTGTTTTGAACTGTGCATCTGAAAGTTTGGCTATTTCTTCATTGCTTAGATTTATCAGCTCTGGGGCTCAGAGTTCTTCTTGAGCCATGTTTTGGTCTGTTCTTGCCTGTTAGGTATGAGGAGCGGAGCCTTAGTTGTTCACCAGGGCGGGGCCACCCAGGTCGCTGGTTTGTGATGTTGTATGTGGGGGCGGGGTCAGAGAGGGACAATAGTGGTCCCCTCTGCCGCTTCCGCCCGCTGGGGCCTGCACTGTCCGTCTCACCACCGCTAGTTCCTTCACTGGTTTATCTGCGCACGAATGTGTGACCATGGTCTGCCCTCAGTGGGTCCGCCAACTACTCTACACCTGGGATCCACCCTCGGCTGCTGGTGCGCATGGATCGCGTGCCCAGATTGGTCCTATGGATCTTTCCTGCCCGACCCTGGTCTGCTGCTGGCTCTGCCCCTCTTACCGGTTTGGCTGAAGGGTTCATTGTTGTCAGACTTCTATGTCGTTCTATTTTCTGTGGTTTGGCTGTGTTTTTGTTGCTAAAACTTTGTTGTTTTTAAACTTGGTTGTGTGAGAAGGTGCAGTGCTTCCACCTATGCCTCCATCTTGGCGGAAGTCTCCCTATTTAATTATTCTTGTTAAATGAAGATTAAAATCACTAACTAATAAAATGTTTTAGTCACACCAGTTTTCTATGGTGAAGTAATCTTGGCCAAGGCTGTAATGAAAACTGGAAGGTAATTAAAGTTTCTCCGTAACTATATATAGCCAGACCAGGCAACATTAAGAGCCCGGGACCAATTATCACACCAGTATTTGCCATTCCTAATAATGCTACCAAAATTAAGGCTCCTTTTCAATTATTTGATGGCTTTGAAGATGAAAAGAGCTAAAATATGAGAGCAGATCAACTCAGTCATCATTTCTAGCTACAGTTTAACCCCTTCCTTTCACTGCCAGAATCTTACTTTGTTCTCCACTTAGGTGTTACTCAAGACTTATTTAAACTACTAGGAATTTTTTTTTTACAACAAACCAAAGTTCATTTATGAAATACACCCAGTTGCGGATTATAAAACACATAACCCAGTTGTATTTTTTACTATCAATACATCTGTTCCTTTTTCTGTTCTTTCTATTTCATCATCACTTAAAGAATCATCAGTATAATTGTTTTGATTGTCTAAAAGGTTCTTCCCATCTCTGTACACAAAATTTTAAAAATTGCAACTAGCAGAGGTGAAGTTTACAGAGTTCTTAAAATTCATCAGCAGACCAAACTAGGGTTGGTGCTTGGCTGCTCCCAAGTTTCGTGACTGTGTCTGCCCCCAGAAGGACTTGTGGTGGGCACTACTGGGTAGGAGTCAAGCAGTGGCACTGCTACAGCTTGTGATGTAATCAATCAGTGTTTCTACCCTTAGTTTCTTTCAAGTACTGTGGGTTCAACAGCCTAACTATTGGACAATATATCCTGTCACCTCTAAACTGGGCATGCTACCTAGCATAATACAAGGGGGACCCCTCAAAACAGAATTTACTTATAAAAATTGGGTACTTATTCAAAATACTCTCCATTTTCTGCAGCCAGCTGCCTGAACCTGGAGCTCCAGTTCACCCCTTTCCAGTTGTGCCATGCAGAGTAGGTGAGCACAGGCATGAAACAATAGGGAGCATGCACGCCTGCAGGGGAGGGGCAGCAGCCAACCAGACCTCAAACCTGACCTTTAGGGGGCTGTGGACCAGACGTGGCTGTTATTGCCAAACTAGATAATTGGCGAGTTAATTGAGCATTTATGTTGTAGACATCTCAAATTCTCAGGTTCTGGTGTTCTGGATTTGGATGTTCCAAGAACCAGAAATGCTATTTTCTAGAGTTGCAAGCTCTGAACTCCCAAGATCTGAATGTTCTACAGTTTGATAATTCTGAGTTTCTGTAATAATGAAGTTCTAGCATTGTCATATTTTAAGGAAGTACAATACAGAACATCCAGAATACTGAGGTTCTAGAATCCACAAGTATGAG